TTGGTTGTTGACGGTGCGGTATGGTTGAGCCAACTGTTGGAACATCTCGTCAACGAATTGGTTGAAGAGCTGCAAGGTGGCTGGGGTCAATGATTGGCGTAGGGGCACTGTATGGTTGGGGTCAAGCTCAGTCAAGCAGCGGACCCTAAGTGGATCATTGGCAGCCTCAACCATTTCACTGAGGTCGATGTCATTCGTGTCAAATTTTGAGATCGAAATTGCATCTGTCACCTCAGAGTTTTCGCTGTCGCCGTCAGGGACGCGGAAGGACACGGCTCCAAGTGGTGCTGTGGTGTGCGATGGTGGGTTGGTAGATGGTTCAGGTGGTGGTGGATCGGCAGGAGAGTTGGGTCGAGTAGTGTTGTGATGGTAGTTGTCGGTGTAGTGGCTATTGTTCCATTCGCCCCAGGTGTCATCAGCATCGGGAGTGGGGATGTAGGCCGGATTAGATGGGCGTGCAGCTGGTCGAAGTACGACTTCGCGGCCTCTGGATCGGCGACGAGGTGTCTCGGAACGTGGTCTTGGGTGAGATCGATGACGTCGAGGAACCACGGGAGAGCGGCGTCTTGGCGGTGATCTTCGTCTGTATGGAGAAGGAGTTCTGCGGTCCTTGTCGTGTTTCGTAGATGACCGAAAACGAGGAAGGGGAGAACGAGGTCGTACAGCACGTCGGGGCGAGTATTGATGATGATGTGAATGTACAGAGGGTCGACGGGAGCGTGATCTCGGAGTCCTGGATCGTGGTCTGCGCGTTGGCGATGGTGGAGCATGTAGGTGGTGAGGAGGAGCGGTGGCTGGAGCTGAGATGATGCGAGGGTCCGGAACGTCAGGTTCGGTGGGTCTGGCTTTCGGTGCAGGTGGAGGCATGGCAATAGGTGGTGGTGCTGCTGTAGGTAATGGTGTAGGCGGCATGGGGTTCGGTGTAGGTACATCGTGGTGGAGAAGTAGCTGACGTTGTTCTTGGGCGCGTTGAGAATCCAGAATCAATTGTTGTTGAGCTTGAATAAGTCGAACCGATTCCGCAAGTTGCTGTGTAGTGGAGCCCAGCGCTGCAAGTTCAGGTGGAACGGATGGAGACGGTGCTGCCGTAGGTGCCGGTGGTGTAGTAGGGGAAGAGGCTTTCGGAGCTGACCGACGTGGTTTGTCCGTTTTCTTGTCGGAGCGAAGCCTTGGGGCAGCCTTAACTGCTGGTGGTGGAGGTTCATCTGGAGGGACCATCGATGCTTCAGTCGGTAGTGGAGGTTGAAGGTGGTGAGGTGGGTATGGAGAGCTCTGCAACGGTGTCGATGGCGTAGTCGATGTAGGTGAGGATGCCGGAGCAGAATGCCATGTGGGAGGAGCGGTGGGTGCCGTAGGAGTAGTGAAAGTCGGTGGAGCGGTGTGCACTATGGCGGTTTCAGGAGCCACAGGTGTAGGCATGGTAGGCACGAGTTGTGGGCCTGGTACTGCATGAGGAGTCGAAGTCAATGGGGCAAATGGCAGTGATGTTGGGGCTGATGTAGACGGCACGAGCGAAGATGAGGAAGACCATGTCGGATGCAATGGCGAGGGGTGACCAAATAGATGTGCGTTCTGCGATGATTGCGGCCACGTCGAGGACGGATTCGTAGGCTGCGGTGGGGCAGGCCATGACGTCGGAGGAGTAGTCCACGGATACATCGCTCAAATAGAACAAAACAGTAATGGAAAATCACATACAGGATTCAGTCCCTAAATACCTAAAGGTCGTGCGATTATTCCTTGCACCGGGACTGTGGTCAAGTCGTGCCCCAAATGGCATAAAACGGCTTTCAAGTTCCATCGAATTAGGTGCACAATATGTTTCACCTCACCAGACAACCATCAAAAGAAAGAGACACCACACCTGAAAGTCGTGAGCCTGCCTGGTACTTGTATCATGACGTGATGCAATGTAGCTGCAAAAGTTGCTGCAAAAACGGAGGTTTCTGGCAATTCAGAACGGCTTCACAGTTGAAGAAACGCATCGGCGAGTAATCCCTGGGACATCCGGAGCAGCAGGAGAACTCAAAATGGCTGATGAACCGCAAGGCCAACTGTTGCAATTTACGTAAATGAATTACCAAATTAAAATGTGTAAATTCGAGTGTCAAGACGGTCAGCACTCACCCTAAAAAGGGTTGCCTCAAAAGGCTCCATGGCACCATGTCGGAGCCACCATGGAAATCACACTAGACAAGAATGGATCATTATATGATCCGGCAGGAACTGAATCCTGAAACATGCAGATTAGATACGAAACAATGAAATTAACGAAGCATCCTACGAATAATAGAAGTTCTCCTGAATGGTTTCCATGTCCAAATTCGTCATCAAAAAGGAATCGGCGATCGTAGTGTTGATACAATAATCCAAATACATCAGCGACATGTTTCGGCGAAAATAATCCAAAAAACCAGTAGTACTGTCGGCGACAAGGTTTCGGCGAAAAACTGAGGAAGGTTCTGATGCATGTAAATATCAAAATTGATTCCAGATTGCGTCAACAGTGCAGTAAATTGAAATTCTCAAATAAACGACGTGGAGGTTCTTGGGTTGAGCCTCTTCCCATTCCAGTAAAATTGGCAGGTACGTGACTCCAGCGTCCCGGAGTCATATCAGTCATGAATGCAGCCCTCTTCGTTGGGCAATCAGCTGCAAACATGAGATTGCCCCCCTGCATATGTGGAAAGATTAGAACAATAGAAGTTTTACATCTGTTCAGATGTTACACACACACCTGCTCAGAACAGTCATTGCGAATTTTGATGTGGAATGCATCCTACTGCAAAAACACTTCCATTATACCTGACAGGAAAAGGTCGAAGATCAGATCCGAGAAGGATCGAGAAGAATGTATTTCAAAGCCACTGCTAGATGCAACATTTCCATCTGAACCAAGTCATTCCCTCCCTGACATCAAGTTTGGTTTGAAAATTGCTTGAAGAACGACATGCCGGTTCTTGGCTTAGCCGGTTGCCATGTCGGAAAATTGATATCGAAACTGCAGGTACGTCCAGGTGAGCAGCCTGGATTTCCTAAGGACACCATAGAGAGCTTCGTTGGGCACAGCTCTATGGGCCTTCTGTGCCCCCCTGCTTAAGTAGAGGTTTTACATCTATTCAGATGTTCCACACACACACACACTTGCTCAGAAACTTGCTGCGATTTCTGTTGCGGAGTGCATCTGACGTGCAAAAACAATCCAGTTACACCTGACTGGAACAGGAGGGTGCTTGGTGTGGAGTGAAAGGATTTTTTCCTTCGCCACCTTGAAGAATGGAATAAAATCAATAGAAGCCAGGAAGAACTCCGAAATATAAGCAGAAAATTGGAATGGACAAGAGATTCACCGCTGTCTCAGATTGCGCCAACTGTGCAGAAAGATAAATGAGAAGTCACCTTCATCCGTTCATGCGCTTAATTCAAAAATCCTGATGTGATTCTCGTTGAAAAACGGCATGGTGGTTCTTGGGTTGTCCACACCCATCACGATTCAAAAATTGCAGGTACGTTTGCACAGCAACTTGGATGGGTTTTCGTTGGCCCATGCCATCCAAGTGCCCATGGGCCCCCTGCGAAACTTGGAAGTTTTACATCTCTTCAGATGGTTCACACACACACATCGGACTGGTTTCAAGAGTTGGAGCTGGTTCCAAATTGGCTACGTCGAATCGCGCGTAGTTCGTTCTGCGGAGCTTTAACTTATAAAGATTTGGCAATTCCTACCTGGTAGACCTTGTCGAGGTTGTATCCAAGTTGGAAGGTAATGATGTAGCCGAAGCATGAACATGGCACATGTACTCCCAAAACACGGACAGGTTCATGCATCTACATGCATCACATTTCTTAAATGGGGCAAGCCATTTGAGCTTAGCCTGGAAGCTATGTCAAACATGATGGAATTTCAAAGCGGGTAAGCCTGGATGGCCAATCCAGATATCCCACTCTGTGACCTAGCTTCATTGAACTGGGTGAGTCACAGAGTGCCCAGTTCCCCTGCAAAGTTGTATGGACATGTTCAGTCAACCATGCCCTATGTTATAAGGGCGTACACACGCACGCCCCACTGGGGGCCAGGCTTCTTATGGCAATGATGAACCCATGTTCTTTTTAAATCGGTGCTAGTCGCTATCCTTCGAAACTGCTCAGACACACCGCTGTTGGCATGTAAGCGTCGGAGTTGCGGCTGTTCCAGTAGTTGTCCACAGTATCATGTAAGCCCATAGCTATACTTGCTTCTGACATACCCAAGCCAACATACGCAATATGTGCTGAACCCTTTGCGTCAGCCATGGTGGCCATCAAACCTGTATACGCTATAGGCTGGCATCCTAACCTATAGATGGCGCAATCCAAAGCTATCGTCTTCAAAAAAAATGGACCACGAATTCACTGCGATCTTAATACTAAACCAAATTAAACTAGAGGAAAACAGGTTGTTGTCAACCAAATGTGTTGGGAACCTATAGATGGAGCAAATATCCCCTTCGTTGAGGTGGTCTATAGATGGCGAAACTCAAAAATTACCGCCGCCCACTATTTTTTTGGAGTAAACGGTTCTCCCTTGATTCCCTGGTGCAAATTCATGGAAATTCCAAAGCTGCCAATTTTTGACAAAACTCGGTGATGTGTGGTGGGCCAGCTAATGCAGCTGCCTTGGCTTCAGCACTGCCCTGTCCAGAAGAAATTTGGTGCGATCCTGAAGCTCCCCCCGGACCCGCCGGACCCAGAGTGGCATCTATTGGGGCCAAGGACTCTGAAAGTCCAATGCCAGCACGGGAGGCATGAAGGTTTCCAGCAGCATCTTGGCCGCTCTCTGCGTCCATCGCAAAAGTGGGAGTTGTCAAAGCACACGAAATTAAACACACATACTGACAAATTTCTGAAGCCGAAAATGCGAGAACAGTTCCAAGCATGCCGCGGAATCTGGCCACCCTTCCGGATTGAACTTTGCCAGGAGGTGTCCATGAACTTGGCATGCCACTTGCTGGCCAAGAAGCGATGGCGGCCCCCCAAAGATGGTGATGGGCAGAATCCCCTGCAATGCTCGAAAACAAAATGGGGCAAAACAAAGAACTCGACAAGAAGGCCTAAAACATGTTGTATGTGATCGATGGCATGAATCAAATTTAAAGAGCTCATGGCGCTGCATGATCATTTTACTGGGATATCAAATGTGTTTGACCTGAAGTCGAAGAGTCTCCAGCGCCGTTTGTGCATTGGCTGCCTTGCACCAGAAACCACGGACAAAACTCCCTGTGGCAATTGCATCTCCTGGGTCTGACACGCTGGTAATTATATGATGGTGATGTAGCACTTAGATGACGGTTCTAACAATGAGTGTGTTTGTGTGTGTGTGTACGTACATATGTGTTGTATGTATGTAAACAAATATAAATATAAATATCAGTAAAAATATAAAGCTTCATTAGTGTGTATATATAGATATGCATACACATACATACAGTGTATATATTTAAATACATATGCATATACATTTACTATTACATACATATATATATATATGTGTGTGTGTAATATTACAACTGCCAAAGGAAGTCTAGTTAGAAAACTTCCTAAAACAAGATGCAGCCCAACAACCGAATGCAGTCACGTAGAACACTTTTGTGAAATAAGTTACCTGAACAGTCTTGTGCATTTTTCCCCTGTTACCGTACCAGTGCACTGTAACTGTGGAATGCGGAAGCGGGTGGAGTGCAAAGTATGGAGTGTGGAGTGGAGTGTAAAGTGTAAACTGTGCAGTATGGAGTGTAGAGTGTGGAGTGTAGAGTGTGGAGTGCAAAGTGTAGAGTGTAGAGTGTGGACTGTAAAGTAGGGAGTGTAAAGTGTAGAGTGTACAATGTAAAGCGTAAAGTGTGGAGTGTAAAGAGTGGAGTGTAAAGTGTGGAGTGTAAAGTGCAGAGTGTAGAGTCTACAGTGTAGAGTGTGGAGTGTAAAGTGTCAACGGTAAAGTGCGGAGTGTAAAGTGTGGGTGTAAAGTGTAAAGTGTGGAGTGTGGAGTGCGAAGTGTAGAGTGTAAAGTGTACAGTGTAGAGTGTGGAGTGCACAATGTCAAGTGTAAAGTGCGGAGTCTAAAGTGTGGAGTGTAAAGTGTGGAGTGTAAAGTGCAAAGTGTGGAGTGTGAAGTGTAGAGTATAAGGTGTACAGTGTAGAGTGTGGAGTGAAAAGTGTCAAGTGCAAAGTGCGGAGTGTAAAGTGTAAAGTGCAGAGTGCCACGCAGAATGACATACCACGCAGAACGGGTCCCACGAAAATGACACTCTCAAGACGTCCCACGCCTGCAACAAAATTTGCACGTTGTCACCACTTCAGCCCTGACCATGCAATTCCCACAAAAAAACGCAACACGACACGTCTCAAGTGCTGCGCCCGCCACGCAAAATGACGATGGAGGTCTCCAAAGTGCCACGCCTGCCACGAAAAATGCAACTCAAATTCTGAAAACGACGCATGCGCCTGCCACACAAAACAACTGTTGACATGAATGTCACAAAGTGGCACGCCTGCCACTCAAGACAACATTGCAACCAGCTTTGCTACCCTCAAAAAGGACAAGTTTTGCAGCTTCCCCCATAGACACGGCGATGCCACAAGAAAACCAAAGAATCAAGACGAGACATGTTGCAGCCTCAAAGCGAGCATTTCGTGCAAGACTTCTTTAAATGTTCAAACTTTGTATCTCAAAATCGACGTTCTCCTACGAATTTTCTTTAACAAACCCGAAACTCAGCTGCCTCAAAATCGATGTTTCGTGCGACTTCCGCCAATTTTCATCGCATCCCGCATCCCTCACAAAATCACATGCCTGCCACAAAATTTGCCTTTCACGCAGCCCTGACAATGCGATCCGCCAAAAGCACGCAACACGACACGTCTGAAGTGCTGCGCCTACCGCGCGAAATGACGATGGAAGCCTCCAAAGTGCCGCGCCTGCCACAAAAATTGCAACTCATCTTCTGAAAACGATGCAAAAAATATTGCGCCTGCCACACAAAACAACTTTTGACACTTTGCGAAACACGTCTGAATGTCACAAAGTGGCACGCTTGCCACGCGAAACGAAGCTACGCGACATTTGAAACCTCCAAAAGTGACCCCTTTTGCAAAGCTCGCCATAGGCACGGCCATATGGGCCTCGCACGGACGGTTGCGGACGGTTGCGGACGGTTGCACAACGTCTGGCGAACACAGCCTCAGCCCCCAGACCCCCAGAGTGAAACGGGAACCTTTGCTACGCATTCGAGAAAAAAACGTGAAAAGACTGAGCCATTCGGAGTAGCGCATAGCGCGGAATCGTCTCCATTGTCAGCTGCGCAAACGTTGCTGGATTTGGCGCGATGCTCCTGCTATGCCGGTTTGCAACTGGCTGTGACAATTGCGATGGCACGGCTGCGCGCAGGAAAGCGTTAGTGATGCTGCCATTCTCCTGCTATGTGGGATTGCAGCTGGAGGTTGCAAAAAGCACAGCGCTAGCTGCGCGAGGAAGAGAATTGGATTGCAGAAGCTACAGAAGAGGTAGCCGGAAGCAGTTCAAGGCAGACGTAGCCCAGATAAGAAGCTGCTCAGAGAAGCAGCAGCTGAGAGAGGAGGTGCCGCAGCGAAGAGGTCGCACAGTGAAGAAGTAGCTCAAGCAGGTAGCTCACTCATCAAACAATCCGTTCGTTCATTCATTCATGTCATTTCATGTCATTTCATGTCATTTCATGTCATTTCATGTCATTTCATGTCATTTCATGTCATTACATGCATTCGTTCATTCACTCATTCATTCATTCATGTCATTTAATTGAATTTCATTTAATTTAATTTCACTTCACTTCATGTCCATTCACTCATTCATTCATTTTTTCTTTCTTTTCATTTCATTTCATTTCGTTTCGTTTCGTTTCATTTCGCTTCAATTCATTCATTCGTTCGTTTCTTTCTTTCAGTCTTTCATTCTTTCATTTTGTGTTTCTTTGATTCATTCTTTCTTTCATTCCATTCCATTCCAGTCCAGTCCATTCCATTCCATTCCATTCATTTCATTCATTTCATTTCATTTCTGTTCTTTTATTTCATTCATTTTGTTTCGTTTCATTTCGTTTCGTTTCATTTCGCATTTGGTTTCCTTTCATTTCATTTCGTTTCATTTCATTTCTTCATTGATTCAGGGATTCAGTGTTCTTGCATTCATTGATTCATCAATTCATTGGTTCATTGGTTCATTCAGGCAGTTTCGCCAGGCTTCTTCCATGTCATGTCAGTGGCATCTCAACCACAGATGCCATTTGCTGATCGTTGGTGTACCTCACAACTTCAACACTTCATTGCTTCTGCATCTTAAAAACTTTAGCTGGTTGAAAATGTTCGAAACGTCCGCCCCGGCACCGGCCGGGCACTACCTATATATATATATTCATATCATTATTATTATTAAGTATTATTATTATTAAATTACTACTACTATTATTATTGTTTATCATCTTTTTTTTATGCATATTGGGGTTTCCATATCATGACTAAAAAAATGTAAACAACCATTGCATGACTCCAGGCTCTCCAGCCGCTGTGGCATCCAGTTGATTGGCATCGAAGAGATCGGTGAAATCACCTGATTTCAACTATGCTTCAAAAAAAAAAGTGTCTATGTCATGCAGTTGATCTGGGGAAACTGATGGAAAGTGCGCGGAACATGTATGTGATTTTGTGTAGATTTCATTTATTTTCACTCTTCAAAGCCAGCTGAAACGCGCCGATGCGGGTCTTTCACCTTCGGAAATACAAGAAGAGCTTTGGCAACACTGAAAATAAAATGAAACTGCGGCAGAAAGATATGTAACCGGTGCTGAGGAGGTGACAGGTCAAGATCTTGAGCTGGTTGCCGTCTTTGGAACAAATGCTAATCTGCGCTTCCCAAGTAAAGACCTCTCAGAGATTAAATTTCTAGGTGAGAAAGACCAAGAGATCAACCTGTTTTTCCACTTGTGAAAGACTTGAAAGAAATAGAAAGAATATGATGTGCTCAAATTCAGGTTGAGTTGGACTGTCAGTTTGTCCTCCATATATTCTGTGTTGAGGTCCCGACAGTCCCAGACTTGTTGAGCGGAAGTAGCTCTGCAGTAGTGTTTGGTGGATCCTGACCACTCAGCTTTCTGCTCACAGCTGCTTCATAATGAGGAAAGTGTTTTTTACCCAGGATTCCAATCGATCAAAACGGCAAATAGAATCAATGCTGTTTCTTTGATACTCAGCGTTGCCTAAACGTCTATGTTGAACGGCCTTGCCTCTATCATGCCAGCCCCTTTGAAAGTCTGCATCAACATGTATACCCAGGTGATGAAGCGACAAATGGACGCTGTAGCATCTCCCTTGGGAAACACCCCCCAAAGGCTAAATGTGGTGGTAATCAGACCGAACTGACCGAACCCCTGGTTGAACTCAGCCCACCTCGCAGTCACAGACCTGTGTCGCGCAAGCACACTTGCAGGTTTTAGCACCTTGGTGTGCCACAAATTGGTCTTGAAAATAGGCTACCCCTCCATTAGCGAATCGTCATGTGCCGCCCAATCTTCATCAGCCCAAAACAGCTGAGGTACAGAGGCATCTGAAAACCTTCGGCAGGTTGGAACAGCATGGGACGCCTAGTAGTCCCATTCTTGCAAAGTCCTGAGCCAGTCTTGGAAAAAAACTCTACAACCGCCACATCGACAGCATCGGCCTGACACGAGGTCAATGCTTCAATGCCAGGCCTCAGCGATGTGCGGTGTGTGGTCGTGTTGCGATGAACTGGTGGCCCAGTTATCAACCTGAGATACCCACCCAGACAAACCCAACCATTTCACCAGCTTGACCGCAGCGTCTGGATTGTCACCACCTCAAGGGAAACTGCAGGTCAAGCGAGTCAAGCATTCACCCCATCCAGGGCCCCATCCACGTTACAATGTGTTCGAACATGCCTGTACCACTGGAATGCACCAAGTTGGTTTCCAAGTCAGGTCATATTTCACATAGTCACATCCCTCGGGCCGCAGCAGCTCTCAAAGACCTGGCATTACCACATCAGGGCAAGCTTCAAAGCCCGGTTGTCCAAGAAAGGGGTTCCCCTAAGTCCGATATCTTTTGAAAAAAAACAGATTCATTCAAGAATGCAAAACATTACAATCCATAAACATCCAATACAAAAAAAGGTTTAGAATCTTTTGAAAACCCTGGAAGGCAACTGGCAAACTTCCACCGGTCAAAAAGGAAACCACACCCCTTGGCTGTCGATCTCTGGCTTTAGTGGCTCGACCTCGACAGGCAGGGCATGGGACATTCACACTGATGAACGTATTGGTGGATATTGTGATGGATATTGGGCTAATCTTGGCATTGCCAGTAACCATCTGGGGCAGATTTGGAGGTATTGGGAGTTCCCACACGGCATCTTGAGCTTACATTTGAGAGCAGGCCCGGTGGTAAATTTTGAGGCACGAGCTTTGAAGGTGTATGGTCTTCGCAATCCTCGCAGGTTCAGTTGCCCAAACAACGGGTACTTTGGCAAAAAAAATACAAGGTTTGCTGAGGAGTAGATAGTCTGTCAGAAAATCCTGGCATTTTTTTCTTCACTGGGTTTTGTGAAACTGCAAAATCACGCCATGCAGCGCAGCTCCGCTGTGGTCCCCGCTTGAAGTTTCTGCGAGGATATTTGGCTCCTCTCCTAGGGCCTGACCCAGGAGAGCTGATGGCGTTCTGTAAAGTGTACCGGTTTCATGTTTTTCCCATCATTTTTGCCATCATTGTTCTTGAATCACGTTTACACCATGTCAACACATTGTAAAACAAGACTTCCAGCAGAGGTGGTTGAGGGAGCCACGGTTGTTAGAGCTGTCTTCAACAGCGTCTTTGGCGCATTGCTTCCTCCAAACCTTGAGCCCACGGAACTGGCGCAGAGTCACAACACTCCCTCTAGATTTCACAGTAGAAACATGTAGAACCTCTGACCACTGTTCACTGTTCAATCTGGGGAAGTGGCGATCCGAAGAGAGACTGGTAGCGGATGGTATATGTGATCAAGCTGGTGTTGTACGAACCTTGTCCCGGCCCGAACTTTGCAGGTTCAGTGTTGCCTTATGGTAGTGGATCTCGTCTTTATTCCTGCTTGACACACGCTGAAGCGAAACTAAAATCTGTTGAACGGGTGGCCGCTGCTCTTGCATTTGCCGCTATCTCAACAAAGCGTGCCAAGTGCACCACCAAAAATGGTGCATAATCCGACTTTGACACTTAAAACAACAAAACAGCATTATTGCATATCATTGCGGCAAAGAGCAACAATCTTGGAGTGGATATGGCAGGTCACTTGTGTGGGTTGAAGGCAATCAACATTCCCTGACCGAACCAGCTGCGTGTTGTGGCAACTGGGCCACTGAACCAGCTGCAACCCATGGACATGTAGAAGTCGACAACTTCCTCCGGGGCTCGAAACAAGCTCGCTGAAGATTGCGACCTTGAGATACTGTGCAAACTAACGCGAAGATTACAAATGACAAATTACCTCACGAGTTCTCACAGTAAACGAACTTTGACTTCAATGTTTTTCCTCCAATGCTTCAACTTTCTCAATCTGACTGGCCGGCGCCTGGGTTCGGCGTTGAAACCATGGACACCGGTGCTTCTGGATAGCTCTTCGGACCTTGCTGGATGGTTGTCTTCCATGCCCATGCGTCGAGCGCTGGCAGAAGCCTCAGTTTTTGGAGCTACAGCTGAGGTTATTAAAGCTACTTATTAACTGCAGCTACTATTCACTGGTAATAATGGGTATATAAGATTATATACGTGTATATATATATATGATTATATATGATGATGATGATTATACGTATTTTTTTCCCTTATTGCTTATATAACAGGTTGGGGTACTGTATAACTCCCTATAATTCTGGCTCCACAATTTAGGAACAGCTTGGACTCCAGCAGGACATTTTCCAGGCTGTCTGCACATTGAGCTCAGATTCATGGGTGCCTGGAGTGGATGAGAGACGCTCAAGAAATCCATCTGGCTCTTATGAAGGAAAGCCCAAAAACCATCACAAACCACTGCGGTTTGTCTGTGCCTGAAACTTGTGACGCTCTCAAGCTGCGTCCCAGTGGTTCTATGGGGTATTCCACTATTTTATGGTTATATTATTGCATTATATACAGCACTTTAATGGTGAAAATATGGGAAAATGATGATATGCTGATATGATATACATTGATATACTGTACTTGTAAACCTCTTTGGATTTAAGGATACCCAGTCTCACTGCTAGGTTTAGCCAAGCTTGCGGCCCAGCAGTTGGCAGGCTGCCAATTGTTGTGACACCTCAAAGGGAGCTGAAGCCTTCTGTCTGGGAAAATGATGGAAAATGATGGAAATTGATGGAAAATGATGGAAAAGAATGGAAAAGAATGGAAAAGAATGGAAACTGGGAAATCAAGGCAGCTAAGGCTTCTACACGCTTCCCCCAGCAAAGTTGCGGTCTTGGACAAAACGTAAGCCCGCATCATCACCTTACCCCAAGATACTCGGTAGAAAGACTCGGGTTTGGTTCCAGGAAGGTTCCCTGCGCCAAGGCTTTGGCCCACCGGAAGCCCATTGCTTGAAACCTGGCGCTGGTTAGACTCTACTAGACCCATGGATTCCACCGCCAAATGAAACTAAGTAAAGTGTAGTAAAGTGGAGCCACTTGAGGCACGGACCCACATGTAAGGATCCAGTCTGTTCTGGCAAAGCCTGAATTAGTACCATACCATGCTGTGAGATTCTTGTCATAGCAGGGGTACCGAGCTGCTGGCACGTCAGAGAAGAGCTCCAATTCACAAACACGCCAACATCCCTTGGCACGTCAAAAGCTCAGGATTGATCAGAAGTTGGAGACATCGTGCCAGAAGTAAGGTCTCACAACTATCTATCAAACATATTCAAACATTTCAACTGCAAAGAACTGTTGGGATGCAGTGGGTGGATTTTATGTTTGTACTTGGGCCAAGTTCACTTGTTATGTCAAGATTGAGGGAAATATACAAATGCAACCACGACAGTAGGAACCGAGGTCTCGGGCAGGTGCACCAGAGAGGTTCACAACAGGCTCCGTCATGTTTGTGACAACCCACACCATAGCCTGGAAGAGACACTGCGAAAACAGCTGAAATGAGACCTGCACTCTGTGTAATTAGATGCAGAAAAAGGCAAGAGCATCAATATGGAAACCTCACATCAGCAAAAGAAGGGAGGCTTCCAACTGATGCCCTGCAGCCCGCAGCTGTATGTTTTCGCATCGCTCAATACAGTGCTGATGTCTCATGATATAAATCGTCATGAGGTACCTGGGAGGTGTGCAACATCTCCCAGGGCCTTTTTTGGCTCAGCTACTTAGCTAAGCAAATAATATACACATACCAACCTCAAAGCAGCTCATTGTTTTGCATCGAGGCGAGTTGATGGGCTTCATCGAGGAGGCGCACCACTTTGTCAAGCTGCAAACGTGGAAGGTGGTGGAATGCACAGGGCATTCCCATCCAAGTTCCCCGACACGTGCCTGCCAAGAAATGGGTGCACACACCTTTCAGATATACCATCCTTGACTGCCCGGGGCTCATGCCACATCTCTTGTAGGTGTGGACTTGATGGACTCTTGGATCCAGGTCAGGTGGAGCATGGTCCCAAGTTGGCAAGTGCGTGATGGGGTCAAAACCCACCACCACAGTACCGTCACGGTGTGGTGCTTTGAAGTTGCCCAGGATGGGTCGTCGCATGGCCTTCAACTCCTCATTCTCCCGCAGCATCCGTAGCAGGTCATCGATCTGCTGAGCGGTCACATGCCCAGCCCAGCGTCTGCATCTTCCACCATGTGAGGGCAAATTCCTGGCAGGAGGTAGACAGGTTGGGGATGGTTGGAATGAAAGCGACGCAATTCACAAAACTTGGCCACCCCATCTGGAACAATGTGCCACTGAAGACGGTTGGGACCCCCCGGACCAATGATGATGGCACTGGGTGGCTCAAGGAGCGGCTGGCACATAGGAGCTGTCTGTCCAGCTGGGTCTGACACATCATTCTCTCGCCCTGAAGCGCTTTGATTTTCCTCCTGGTCTTCATCACTGCTGTGGTTTTGTCCTGCTTCACCTGGACCTGCTGCTTCAATCGTGGCTCCAAGAATTTGCCCGGCACCTTCCAGCTGCTGTGAAGCTCCACTAAACACCTGGGGCCTCTGGGGCTCCTCTGAAGGATTTGCATCCACCAGTGGACCAGCAATGGCCCTCAGCGCTGCTGCCAGAAGAATCTCCTGGAAGGTAAGCCTAGAATCCTTGATGGTATTGATACATGGCAACATTGCCAGGACCAGGCCGCATCCACTGCGTGCGGCCAGAAGCGCTGCATTAGTGTCTCCAGTGGTTTCCTCCTCCTCCTTCCCTTCCAACTCGTCCAATCCCAATGGGTCAAACACCAACTTCGTTGAGCAGCGGAAATCTGGGCTGAGTGAGTTTCTTCATGTCATTGGGAGACACCACGTCGATAAAGGTGTTCTTCACTATGACAACCTCTCCACCATGCTCTGCTGCAGTTTGCTCCTGATGACCTGCCTCTCCATGGTGTGTCTCTGACACTTCCTCCACATGATCAGCAGCCATTGGCGGAACAGCCATAGCTGTGAGAAAACGGGAACTGCCAATCTCTACGCTAGCTAGTTCTGTTGGCAAAGGCTGCAAGCACATCTGAATCTGGCGACACCTTTGGGTCGGAGAGGCCAAACAGAAGATTCAGCAAGAGACGTTCGTTTGGAGCTTGGATTCACAATGAAAGAATTCCAACCAGAGATAGAAGTCCAGTCAACCCTGTGGAGAATAGAGGCAAAATGTTTGATTCCAAATCATCCCATCATATTCAATTATATCAACATCAACATATAACTAATCAAAGGAAGTTGGGAAGCAATACTTCCGAGTTACGGATGACTTTTACCTGATGAAGGGTGGTGTGAGACTTTACACTACATAACAATACATCACCAAAGAATAGATCTTGATGAAGGGTGGTGTGACACTTTACTCTACATAACCATACATCACAAAAGAATAGACCTTGATGAAGGGTGGTGTGAGACTTTAAATTAAATAACAACACATCACAAAAGAATTGACCCTGATGAAGGGCGGTGTGTGACTTTGCCCTACATAACAATGCATCACAAAAGAATTGACATTGATGAAGGGCGGTGTGAGGCTTGACATCACATAACAATACATCACAAAAGGATTGACCTTGATGAAGGGAGGTGCAAAATGCATTGTAATGGCTGCATGAATGTTGCATGGGGGCTTGTGTTGGGGAGGAAGCCGGAGCACGAAACCTTGTGTTTTTCCGTGTAAAGTGGCTGCAGGCCGCGATGAAAGGTACCTCCTGTATGCGGCGGTTGAGGCTGCGGTCGGTTTGCCTGTTTTTTACCGCATTGCAACGGTGGTTTCAAGCTGCTTTGGGTGTGCTTGTGTGTGCGTAGTAATAGGGTGTTTTGGAATCTGTGGTTGCAGATCGCGTTGGAATGGCTGCATGATTGTTGTCATCTGGTGTTGCCATGTGCGTAGATACGTGCAGGTTTGCGACGTGATGCTGCGAAACGCATTGTAATGGCTGCGTCAAGGTTGCTTGGTGCCGCGGCTGCATGCGTAATACTTTTGTCTTTTGCAGCTGAAGATCGTAAATCGTATTGGAGTGGCTGTATCCAGGCTGCGACAGTGATTTGTCAGCAGATGTTTGCAATTTTGGCGCTAGTAATTTTCCTTTTAAAAAACCTATTAAAAAGTGCTTTAAAATCGTCTTTTTTCTGCTTTGGCGTCGAGATCCGGTTTTGGAGCTGCAATTTCCGACGCCGTTGCGCGTAGTTCTATTGTGTTTTGCAACTCAGCTCTGCAAATCGCATTGTAGTGGCTGCGTCAAGGTTGCTTGGCGCCGTCAAGCTTGCTTTTTTTTGCTGTCAAGCTTGTTTTTTTTTGCTTTGGCGCCGAGATCCGGCTTTGGAGCTGCAATTCCTGTTGTGATTATGTACAAGAAAGCTTCTCTGTGTAATTTGTTTTTCTGTAAAAGCTTGCTGTGTGTAAAAGATTTTGTGTGTAAAAGCTTGATGTGTGTAAAAGTTTCTGTGTGCGTGTGTGTAAACGCTTGCCATGTGTAAAAGCACTGTGTGTAAGTGTTCTGTGTGTAAACGCTTGCTGTGTGTGAAAGCTTGCTGTGAGTAAAAGTTTCTCTGTGTAAAAGCTTGTTGTGTGTAAAAGCTTCTGTGTGTAAAAGCTTCTCTGTTTAAAAAGTTTGCTGTGTGTAAAAGCTTCTCTGCGAAAGAACTTGCTGTGTGTAAAAGCTTTCTTTGTGCAAGCTTTGTTTCACAAAGTAGTACTGGGAAGTGCTTGGTTGGCGCAAGCTTCGTAGTACAAAGTAGTACTGGGAAGTAGAGTGTGCAAGCTTTGTAGTACAAAGTAGTACTGGGCGCAAGCTTTGTGTAGTACAAAGTAGTGCTGGGAAATGGTTTGTGCAAGCTTTGTAGTACAAAGTAGTACTGGAACGTGCTTTGTGCAAGCTTTGTAGTACAAAGCAGTACTGGGAAGTACTTTTGCAAGCTTTGTAGTACAAAGTAATACTGGGAAGTGCTTCGTGCAAGCTTTGTAATACAAAGTAGTACTGGGACGTGCTTTGTGCAAGTCTTGTAGTACAAAGTAGTACTGGGAAGTGGTTTGTGCAAGCTTTGCAGAACAAAGTAGTACTGGGAAGTGCTTTGTGCAAGCTTTGTAGTACAAAGTAGTACTGGGAAGCGTTTTGCGCAAGCTTTGTAGTACAAAGTCGTACTGGGAATGCTTTGTGCAAGCTTTGTAGTACAAATAAAAGGACCGGATAACCCCACAAGTCAACTTCTTCCAATAATGAGCAACAAATGTTGTAGCGGGGACGGGGAAGGAAGGAAAGACAAAGGAGGAGGTGGAGAAAAGATGGTATGTGACAAAGTTGTATGTGTGAAAGATGGTGTGGTGAAAGATGGTGTGTGACAAAGATGGTGTGGTGAAAGATGGTGTGTCAAAGATGGTGTGGTGAAAGATGGTGTGTGACAAAGTTGTGTGTGAAAGACGGTGTGTGAAAGATGGTGTCTGACAAAGTGGTGTGTGAAAGATGGTGTGTGTGATAAAGTGGTGTGTGAAAGATGGTGTGTGACAAAGTGGTGTGTGAAAGATGGTGTGTGACAAAGTTGTGTGTGAAAGACGGTGTGTGAAAGATGGTGTCTGAAAGATGGTGTGGGAAAAAGTGGTGTGAAAGATGGTGTGTCAAAGATGGTGTGTCAAGGATGGTGTGTGAAAGATGGTGTGTGACAAAGTGGTGTGACAGATGGTGTGTCAAAGATGGTGCGTCAAAGATGGTGTGTCAAAGATGGTGTGGTGAAAGATGGTGTGTGACAAAGTTGTGTGTGAAAGATGGTGTGTGAAAGATGGTGTCTGACAAAGTGGTGTGTGAAAGATGGTGTGTGACAAAGTGGTGTGAAAGATGATGTGTGACAGATGGTGTGTGACAAAGTGGTGTGACAAAGATGGTGTGTGAAAGATGGTGTGTGACAAAGTGGTGTGTCAAAGATGGTGTGTGACAAAGTTGTGTGTGAAAGATAGTGTGTGTGAAAGATGGTGTGTGACAAAATGGTGTGAAAGATGGTGTGTCAAAGGTGGTGTGCCAGGCGGCGACCACGCGCGCAGGCCAGGCGGCGACCACGCGCGCAGCAACTCCTCCAGCAGGCCCTGTGTCACACGAAAGCCAGCCGCGGGCCAGGCGGCGACCACGCGCGCAGCAGCTCCTCCAGAAGGCACTGTGTAATGCGCCTGCCACACGAAAGCCAGCCGCGGGCCAGGCGACCACGCGCAGCAGCTCCTAGGCTCTGTGTAATGCGCCTGCCACACGAAAGCCAGCCGCGGGCCAGGCGGCGACCACGCGCGCAGCAGCAGGCTCTGTGTACTCCACCTGCCACCTGAACGCCAGCCGCGGGCCAGGCGGCGACCACGCGCGCAGCAGCTCCTCCAGCAGGCCCTGTGTACTGCGCCTGCCACACGAACGCCAGCCGCGGGCCAGCCGGCGACCACGCGCGCAGCAGCTCCGCCAGGAGGCTCTGTGTACTGCGCCTGCCACACTCTGTGTACTGCGCCTGCCACATGACAGCGTGGTGTGATTGACAAGTGGTGTGATGAGTGGTACTGTGATGTGACGGCGTGGTGTGATTGACAAGTGGTGTGATGAGTAGTGCTGTGATGAGTGTGTGATGAGTAGTGCTGTGATGAGTGGGGTGTGATGGCTGAGGTGAGTGAGGGACGCGGCGGCGGGGCGAAAAACAAGAACCCCACACAGTGATGTGGGGAAAAAGTACTGCGAGGCTTTGTGCAAGCTTTGTATCACAAAGTAGTACTGGGAAGTACTTTTTGCAAGCTTTGTAGTACAAAGTAGTACTGGGAAGTACTTTTTGCAAGCTTTGTAGTACAAAGTAGTACTGGGAAGTGCTTTGTTGAAGCTTTGTAGTACAAAGTAGTACTGGGAAGTGCTTTGTGCAAGCTTTGTAGTACAAAGTAGTACTGGGAAGTACTTTGTGCAAGCTTTGTAGTACAAAGTAATACTGGGAAGTGCTTTGTGCAAGCTTTGTGGTGCAAAGTAGTACTGGGAAGTGTTTTGTGCAAGCTTCGTAGTACAAAGTAGTACTGGGAAGTGGTTTTTGCGAGCTTTTGTAGTAGACATCAGTACTGGGAAGTAGTTGACATGAAAATAGCCAAGAATAACTTAGCTGACATATGGGAAGACATGAAACGGGATGAGAAGAGCTCAGATGAGATGAGCTGAGATGAAGTGCAAGTGTGAAGTGTGGAGTGCAATGTGAAGTGTGAGGAAAGTGTTTGCTTGACGTTGCATTGCACCGGGGTCGCGCGCAGGTCATGTTCTTGGACAACAACACTACGGCGCATGCAAGTTCCTTAGTAGTAGGACTGGGAAGTGATTCATGAAAGCTTGGATGACATATGAGACGAGATGAGATGAGAAGAGATGAGCTGGGATAAGGTGAGATGAAGTGTGGAGTGTGAAGAGTGCAGTGTGAAGTGTGGGGCGTGAAGAGTGCAGTGTGAAGTGTGGAGTGTGAGGTGTGAAGTGTGGACTGTGAAGTGTGAAGTGTGAAGTTTGGAATGTGAAGTGTGGAGCGTGAAGAAAGCAGTGAGAAGTGAGAAGTGTGAAGTGTGGACTGTGAAGTGTGAAGTGTGAAGTGTGGAGTGTGAAGTGCGTAGTGTGGAGTGTGGAGTGTGAAGAGTGCAGTGAGAAGTGAGAAGTGTGAAGTGCGAAGTGGAGCTTCAAATGTGACATGTGAAACAGGACACCTCTTTCGCAGAATGCACGCACGCACGGGCTTGGCTGGCGCACGGCGCACGCAAGTTCTATAGATGAGAAAGGTCTTATAAATCCCTAAGGCAACTTCCGCCCCGCCTCGTGCGGGTACTACTGGTAACAATGTTATATATAATAATGATACTGTAATAAGTGTAGTAATCATAATGATAATAATACTAATAACCGTCTTCATATTCACAATCATGAAAAATTATCATCGAAGGAAGTTTAGAAGTCAAACTTCCGACAATATGGACAGATGAAAAGCAGAGCAGGGCAGAGGCAGAGAGAAGAGGAAGATTAGAAGAAAGAAGATCAGAAGAGAAAGAGTAAGAAGAAAGAAGATGCAGATGTGCGAAAAG